AAAAAATTGTCTGTTTCTCGTTTTTTAAAACTCAAATTTTAAAAAGAAGCGGCGAGGAGATTTTTTTTTTTTAATACTGAGCTAAAATGAGGGAAATTTGAGACAAGTGCCAGTACAAGTGCATTTTGGAAAGCTTTAGGAGGGAAAAACATGTTTGAGGCGCATAGTTCAAAATGATGCGCAGGGAAACGAGAAACAGAGATAATTTTTTTCTCAGCCTAAAAGTATATGAACAGATAGGCAATCCTTGTCCTATTTTGTATGTATTTATTTCAATGTGCATTTCCAAATATCACACATTAAGAACCAAGAAAATACATGTACGAGAAGCAACTTGTTTGTGAATCAGTTAATTACTAATAGGTGTGTAAAGTATGATCTCCTGGGTATGAAACTTTAGTTATTGTATCTCTGGTGAGAGGCATTTTTAAAAAGTAAATGCTACCTTGATTTATTGAGTTAAAGCAAGTCTATCACTACAGGTTACACACCGCAAATATGTGTGGCAATGTACCCGGTAAGTTAACTAGCTGTGTTTGTTATCACAGTAATGACAAACAGAACATGATAGTAGTATATCCACTACATTAGTTCATATAATTGTGCTTCATACATTTTATTAATTTTGTTCATTTCTTTATTTTAACATAATTTATGAAATTCGTCATTCAATATTATTTTTCTTTGATTTGTATTGAGAGTTGTAAGCCATATTTCTGTTACAAGATTATTAAAACTATTTTCCTATTGTATATGCACATATTCCTCAGTTAAAATTGGACAAACTTTTTCCTGGGAAAACTCCTCTAAAACTCTAGAATGAAATGGTTGCAATATAATGCAGCTAGCATCTCATGTCCCAGTCACTTCTTTTCTGGGTTACGATGAGGAAAGTAGTATGTTAAGAATAAATTCAACAAAAGGAATGTTGCTAGTCTGCAAATGTTATATAACGGTAATGCTATACTCCCCCAATAGGCAGGTGTGACATCTATACCAAATATTGTATGCTTACCACACAAATCAAAATATCTAAAGCCTCCCATGAATTTACTATATCTTTCTGCATTGAAATCCCTAGATCCTTAACAAATTGGCATAATTAATTGTAATGCTTTCTGTGAATTAGTTTTTAGTTATTGATCCGAAGGGCTGTTTAGCTATAGGGATCATGAATCGTCCAGCTATTCGTAGACCTTTAGTTCTGATTTTGAATATGAAGATGGCAATTTGTTCAAGAAAAGTAGATCCATCAACAAATTGGGTCAAAAAGCTGAAAATTTATATTTTCGCCTGATTGACTTGCTATTTAGCATGTAGGTACCTTGGCTGGTTGGCTGTGTGGTCCTGTTGATGTGGTAGCATTATCTTCAAATTTGCATTTTAAGTGAATATTTTCATTATCAGTTTTTAATATTTTTAACCGGGAGTGTTATCTCCGTCAGTCAAATTGCTTTCATATTAGTATGTAGAGATCTGGGGCAGATCTCTCTCAATGAAATCTTCAATTTTTCAATAATTTTTTTTCTGATTTTTTTTTTTATTTTTGACTCTCAGATAGCAAATACATTGGACTGATGTAACACTCTATGATTTTGTAATGATGGTGGAGTTATCGTTAGTTTTGTATTTTTAGTGATTCTTTAGGTGCTATTTTTTGGCAGAAATGCTATTTTCGATATTTTTTTTTCAAACTGCTAGATTGTTAGTTTTTATTTCATGGGTGAAGGTTCATTATTGGTTGAAGATGGTAATTTGTTCAAGGGGTGTAGATTGATTAATAAATCAGCAAATTGGGTCAGAAATGCCAAAACATCTAAATTTGTGTAATTTTATATCTAGCATGGTTAATACTGTGTCTTGTAGATGTGGTTTTAATTTAAATTTTTTGTTAGTGATTTTTTTCTATGTATTTTTTGTCCAAAACAAAACTTTTGAACTTTATATATCATAATGGCAGGTCGATATCTGGGCTGGTGTCTGTGTGACGGAAACGCAACAAGAATGAACAAGGAGTAGACAATTCATACAGTGATCACCCACATATGGCATTGCTTAACCATACATTACATGCTTAAAGCAATACCAATTTGTTATGAAAATTTCAGCTACAAAATTTAACACATACAGATTCATCTTTGCCTTGACACACTTAAGCAAGTATTGTATATTACCGGTATACTTCTAATTCGTTGCTTGTCTAATGTTATAATTACCGATGAGCGTCAGGCCACGGGCCTAATTTTTAGTTTTTGAAATCGACAATAATTCAATACCTCTGCATGTAAGCCTGCCAATGTCACTCGTGATGCATTCAATAACGAATTTGGAACAAAGATCTTGGTAACATTAAGTTTTTATTAAAATGAACATTGACACATAACTCAAAACCCGCGGAGACGGTTGTCAATCTTTTATACTTTCTAAGACATGTGGACCAGGGTTACATGGAAATTATTCCTTGTCAGATAATTAAAAAAAGTTATGGACGATTTTTTATGAAATTGCTGAGAGGGGCTCCCTGAGGCACTCCAATCAAGAAAATGTTGCGAGAGGTCTGGATGCAGTTGCTAAAGAGGGTGAGGTGGCAAGAGGGATAGCTGGCACAGGTTACAGAAATTAAAAACGACATTTTACGATTTTACAGGAAATAAATGAAAGTTCCATTTACAGTAAAAAAAAAAGATTTTTACACTTTACAGATAAAGCAAATTCTTAATTACATTTTACATTTTTATAATATTTTTGATAGTTTGTGTTTAATAATAAAATTGAGGATTGCGTACGACATTTAATCCGGAAAATGCTTTATACGCTTACAAAAAATAATATCTTTGTATAAATTACGGATAAATAAAATAGCTAGATTACATTTTACACCTTCCATGTCTAAGAATTTACGTTTTTAATGTACTTAAATTACATTATTACGAAAATAAAAAAACAATTGATTACAGCTTACGAAAATACACTTTGCCGACCATCGTTAAAGACTTTGGTCTTTCTTTTAACAAAAACCTGGAAGTTAAGTCAATATGTTTTGTCATAAATATAATTATGCTTTTAAAGTTAAAATGGAGAGACATGTAAACGTCAGCGCATAATAATAATATAACCCAAGAAACTCACGTGTACAATATATAATAGTGGCTTTATTCGTTTAATAA